TATATATATATATATCTGCAAGTGTTCCGTATGTATTTTAGCTCTCTATTTCTAAGACGTAATGAGGGAATAGGAAAGCTCCAGATAAGACCATTTTTAGTGCATTTCTGTCACCCTCAAGCTTAGGAAGTAATGTTCACTTTAATTAGATGTGCTTGGAGGTGGAGCTGCTATCGTTTATTGTTATAACTCCTGAAAGGTATCACAGAGCATTTGAATTCTAATTCCAGTTTCATAAAGACTTTATATTAAAATTCACATTTGGGCTTTTGATACGAAAGGATTAGTACAACTGAAGAACAGCATGTAGAATTCTCTTTCCATATATCCTGTAGAATCGTATTTTAATATCCACTTTACCTGCCTTGTATCAACCATTGCTAGAGGTGAGGCTGTGTGTTAGGATTTAGGGAAAGGATTCATTTATCTGTGCATTTCATTTGTGTTCTTAATTGAAAGTTAATGTGCTGTTACAGCAACCAGCTCACAATTAAGTGTCTTCAAATTTTGAGAGGTCTCTGAGAAAATGTGGGTTTTTTTCCTAGTCATCCAATTAACATACCAGCCTGCCTGGGTGATGGGGAGACATGGGAAGGGACCATGATTGATTTGTTAATTACTTGGAGATTGGCAATTCCTCTAGTTAGGAAGAAGAAAAATTGGCGGCACGATCCTGACAGCAGAAGGTAATGATTGTGTCCTGAGCTTTTGAGAGCTAACCTTACATGCTTTTGTGGAATTCAAAGACCCTGAAAGCTGGAAGGTTGGCTGTGTTGTTGTCAAAATTAGTGCATTTCAGCTTTGAGAAAACTTTCCATATAGGTTTTGCCAGCAAGCACTATTAAGAATCATTTTGTCACTTCATTCCCCACCAAAAAAAAGACAAAGAAAAATTAAAAAAAAAAAGAAGGGGAAAAAAAAAAGGCAGCATTTGGAAAATTGACTTGGATTTTATTTATTTATTGGATAATGGTAGGCTGATGCTTATGCAGGGCTGGGGCTTCAGTGTGTAATGTGCACGCTCGCTGGACAAATGAGGCTAAGTTCATAGCTCCCCTCTAACAATTTCTGCAGTCACTGATATGTGCAACTTTAACAACTCTGAGTAGCCTTTCACTGCTCTGTCTTGCATCTTCTACCTGTGCCATTCCCTTGTGCAATGTTTTGAGAAATTTAAAGCCATATAAACATACTGACTTGTTGTCTTTTACTTTCTAAATGTGACTGATCCAGGCTTTGGGCTGAATCTGCTGTACACGGTGTGAAAGGTGGGCTTTAAATGTCAAAACGTGGGATTTAAACTGGGTGGTAGTAACTTGCAGTCAGAAAGCTGGGGATACAGAACAGATTTGGAGAACCTTTGAGCAGTCAAGGAGACAGCGGTTGTACATTGTGACTCCCATCTGACTTCTCTGGAGCAGATGGGAGCCAAAGAAAGTGAAGAACAATTATATGTACAGATTGATTAAATAAAATATAGCTTATTGTACACCTGTTTTTAATCTTTTTCATTTTTCAATTTCTGTGGAAATGAATATTGCTGAGCAGTCTTGTGATTTTGCATGTTTTTCTTAAGGTGGTGAAAATATTTTTCAGATTAAAAATTCTGGCTTTGAAATTAAATTTTTGGTTTGTGTATTGTTTGCTCTGAAAACTCCTGTACAGTTTAAGGTATATCACTGGACTCACCAGCAGCTCAGAAGACTGTGTTTGTAGACACCTCTGGGACTGTGCTCCCCTTTTTGTTCAGATTCAGAGAGTTGCAGATGTGCATTGCCCATATTTTACTGAGATTTAACAGGTTTTTCAGACTACTTTGCCTCCAAATTGTTCATCCAAGGTAATGAGTTCTTAATAATCATAGTATAAATCGACACACCTTCAACTTTATGGTGAAGGTTAGAGGCCTAAATTTTCTTTTAAATCTCTCCTATTAGGAATGTAAGTTCAGATGGAGCAGAAGCACGCAGAAGACTAAGAGAGTGTGATGGCTTGGTGGATGCCCTCCTTCATGCTCTACAGTCTGCCGTTGGCAAGAAAGATACAGACAATAAGGTGAACTTGAGTGTTAAAACTTAATGGATGTTTCCATTAATTTAGTCTGAAGTGTTGCACTGGGATTTGACTTCTGTTTGCTAGTATCAGAAGGGGATTATACTTGCCTCAGAAAATATAGTAATTATCTTCCTCTCATATCTGTTATGATATCCATGGTACTACTGATGGGGCATCAGCATGATGCTGCTATGTTACCTTGTGTGGCTGATGTGAGCAAAGGCAAGTGGTTGTGATAGGTGAGGAGAGTAGTCCTTTATTATTGTCAGTGACGTTATTGCGATTGTTCTGCATTACTTAATTGACATTTATAAGTGCAGTCTCCAAATCAGAATTGAGTCCCATTGTATAGTGCTTTGCACAATACCAGCAAAGGAGTCAGTTCTCATTTTAAGGACTTTATTCAGCACCATCTCTAACGACTGTAGTGCTTAGACGTTAAGATATGGCTTCAGACCTGCAGCACTTTCATTCTGGCTTTTTTTTTAGATGCAGATTTTGATTAATCCGTTTTTATCGTCATGTCATCCTGTGGTGCTTAAAAGCATATTTATGTGCATAAGGAATTAAACAGTTTAACCTGTTTAAAAAAGAGCATACTATTTCTTTATAACACCAATAAGGCTTGTAAAGCATTGTTATTTTATTCTTTTTGAGTCCCACCATGGGATGGACTGTACAAGGGAATTATAAAGCCTTGTCACTTAATCAGATAATTTTGGAAGTGGATTTTGTAACCACCTGGTGGTTTCCACTGCAATCTACAGAGCATTGCTCTTGTCAGAACCTGATGTGCTGTGGATTAGCTATTACTACAGGACAATGTGTGTTCTCATTGAAATCCTCACAAGGCCTAGGTTTTGACCCAGAGAAAATTTAATGAAATGGGCCCCTTGGGGATTGTAAAGGTTGGAAGAATGAGAGACTTGTATTAAAATAAGATCCTTATATGACCATTTTCCACTGTGTGTTTGATCTTTCAGTGAATTGTATTCTTTATGTAAGATCAGGTGGTATTTTTGATTAGACAGTTTTCATTTTGAATGGGTACTATTTATGAAGCGCTTCACTTTTGGAAGAACAAAATTGGTTTTAGAACAAGAACGAGCCTTAATTTAAGGGGTCTTGACTAAATCTTCCTTGAAAACTACATTCTTTTCCTGGAGCAGCTGGGGTTTTTTTTAAATTCCCCCAAACCCTCCACTGTATAATATAATCGTTTGCAAATAAGAGGGTGCACTACTTATTATAACATAAATTTCTCTGTAACAGTCTGTGGAGAACTGTGTGTGCATCATGCGGAACCTTTCCTATCATGTCCACAAAGAGGTCCCTGGAGCTGATAAGTACCAAGAACTAGATGCCAGTCAGACTGCAAGCCTGGGAGGCTCTCAGAAGAAGAAGAAAGACGATGCTGGTTGTTTTGGTGGAAAAAAAGCTAAAGGTATGTGTTGCAGAGAGCTCAGAACTGGAAATGGATTTGGGGGTAAATTTTGCTGTGTAGGCCAGCTCTTGCAGGCACATTCGTCATGCTAGTTTAGAATGATGCAGTTTGTGGAGGTACGTGTTTGTAGTGTCGTGGCATGTGTTCATTCCCTTGTTGCATTACTGCTAGATATTAATAGACTTTTTTTCCTACAATTGCTCTAGTTTTGTTTGGCTTTAAATAGGAGTGGTGCATGCTGACAGATGACACTGCCGTTGGACAAAGGTGGATGTGCTCTGCCTCTCCTGTGCGTTGCTGTGTTCTTGCATCTGTCAAATCTATGCTTAGTCCACTTGCTTGGCTGTATAGCATGTGTCACGGCCTCTGGAAGCCAGACCAGCATGCGTTCATCCCCGTGCATGGTAGTCCTGTCTGTATGTCTTCCATGCCTCCAGTCTCTCACATTTGAAAACAAACGAAAAGCCTACGCTCCCACTCACAACCGAAACATACAACCTCCCAGTTCTGTCACTCTTTCAGTAATTTAAATTGCAAACATGATTTTGTAGCTTTTAATTGTCAGTCACTTTTAGACCTGTTCTCTCCTCTGGGGCGTGAGTGTTGCAAATGAGTTTCATTACAAGAGAGGATTAATAGTCTCAGTAACCCCCCTTCCATCTTTCCTTTAGAAAGAGACACTCAAATTATATCCTTTTTCTTTGTTGTTTTAGAGAAATTACAATTCTAGACTGAATTCAGAGATAATTAACTCCATTTTCTGTCTAGGCTCCATTCTCCTCATTCATGTGTACTCACATGCTGGCTTACTATTTATAGCCAGGTCTAAGGAGGGTTTTAGTCCTGAAGAGCCAATATGGAATTGTTTGAACTTTACAGATTGTGTGCTGCCCGTTACTCTTCTTTTGATCTGACCTGTACATGTTATTAAAATGTTACATGTTTCCATATGTGTTAGGGAAGTCATCACGGTGTGAACTTGCTTTTGCAGACTAGTCTGTCATCAACTAGATTTAAACTGTGTTAAGGGGAAAAAAAAAAAAAAAAGATGGGAATCTTTTAATGACTGGAGGGAAAAACCGAAGAAAGAATTCTACCTGGCTGGCCAGCCTGTTCTCACAGTGAATGGCTAACACTTCAGTGTGATATCCTTTGGAAACCTTGAACGTGTGCTGACTCAAGCCTGTTCCCTGCCACTTGCAGTCCCTGTTGTTTTGCTGCCTGAGAGCAGCACAGTCAGTGAAAACATTTTTAGACATAAAAGCTATGTGTGCTGTGGGAGGAGGGGAGTGTGCTGATTGAGAACTGTCATCATCCTCTTGATGACAGTGAAAAGAGAGCGCTCTCAGGTGGCTGTCCTTTGTCAAGTGTCTGCCTGTTTCCTCTGGGGCTGACCTGTATATACCATCTGTGTCTGTACGCCCCGATAGTTTCTGTTTATCAGCCAAAGCATCTGATCATGTCTGTTTGGACAAATTGGTCTCAAAATCATCTGACACTGAGGATGAACCCACGGATTTCAGCGAGCAATGCAGGCCCTCAGTGACAGCTTGGGTTTTGCTCTGTGTGTTTTTTGAAATGACAATTTCCAAAGTATATTTTAACATTTTTTTTCCCCCCTTTTTGCAGTGCTCTTTTTAAAGTGTGCTGTTCTCTAGAGGGAAATCAACTGGTAATAATGCTGAGCTCGCAGCTTGTAGTATGTAGATCAGAAGGATAGAGGGGGACAGGCAACTGTTGTGTTTAAAAAATAAAAATTAAAATCCATCAATAAATGTGCTTTTAAAATCGTAAAGAGACGCTTCCTTTTCTCACTATTAAATTTATGCAAATACCTTGTCTGAACTTGCTGTAATTTTCTCAGTCTAGGACTTAAAAATAGATCAATTCTCTCCCCCTCTTGTTCACTTAATCTTGCAGTGTTTCCATGTTTATTTTATTTTATGTCATGGTCATTGATCATAGCATTTCAAACACCTCTGCAAAGGGCTAGTCATCCTTCTGTCCCCTCTGTGAGCACCTTTTTATTTAATGAAAAGAGGAAGGAAAAAAAAGCTGTGCTTTTTTTTCAGCAGGAACAAAAGGGAGAAAGTGGAATATCTTGTTTTGGTTTGTTTTTTTAATGAAAGTTCTGTAGTATTCTTGTAATACTCAGGTTTTGAACCTATTCTGTGAAATTCTGCCTCTTTGTGACTGTTCCTTTGTATTTTCTTCCTTCCTGTAAATTTTTGTTTTTCTTTTGCTGCTTTTCTGGTAATTAGAGGAGTGGTTCAATCAAGGTGAGTCTTTGCAATACTTTCTTTTCATCATCGCCATAATATGCTTTGTTCAGCTTTTACATGCAAAGCTAAGAGCTGAGATCAAGGTCTTGTTCATTCACCTTCTCCTCTGCTCTCCCAGAGCATCCTCCTGTTCATTTCAGTAGGCATGGAAATCCTCTAATTGAGTGAGCATTTGCAGTTTGGTCTTCCCACACTGAGAATAGAAAATACAAGGTTTTACTCATTCCTGGTGTAAGTGCAGTAAGGGAATTGATTTGCAACTGGCCTGATAACCCCATGAGAGAGGGAACACCTAAGTGTGCAAGGTGCCTCACCAACCCTGTCATACCAAAGTACGGCTTTGCTAGCTGGTCTGGGTAGCAGTAGCCAGGAAGACGCAGCAGCTTGGATGTGTATTCTCAGGGTTCCTTGGTATTTTGTCTGCTTGGGCACGCATGCCTGGGCTGCTGCATCTTTATTACTGGCACTCAGACTAGCTAGATGAAGCTACCCCCAGTAAATGCCTCGGGGGATATGCCCTTTACTTTCTCATCCCAGCACAATAAGTAAAATTGCAGTTGGAATACACAAGGCTGAGGCTAAAGTTTGCCTGGGAAGTTGTTAGGCTGTGAGTGCCCTGGAGACTTCCACTGTGTTACTGAGACTGATTTGGGGGTAAAGGCAGGGTCATCTTCAGTTTGTGACACTTGCTTCAGATCAATGCGTTCTGGAGGGTTGAGCCAAAGGAGAAATGGGGGGCGGGGGGAACCCTAATTGCTGCACCTGACAAATGGTGCTCAGTAGTGTTCTGTGAGACACTGCTTTCAGACTCTGACTGGTGAGCCTGTGGAGGGTAGGCACGTTGGCAAGACAGAGCTCAGCCCTTGCTTTCTGTTGCTCCGCTGCGGTCCGGTTCAGTGGGTGTATTAACAAGCACAGTATTGACTGTTGGGGGGGGTGAGGGGGGGTTGT